GAGTCAATCTATTTTACTGGTCTCAAAGGGATAGCCTAAAAATAAGCCTAAAGTCCACCGTAAGTGGCTAAGATAGCGGACTTAGCTACATGATGGTGTGTCTGAGGGTCCATGAAGGCACCTCGTAGGAAGATATCAGTGAACATTTAGGCTTAAAACACGGTGTGAATGATGTTGTTTCGAGTCGAATATTATTGTCGGGGCTTGTGGACACTTGTATGACACCACACGAGCAGTATGGAGGCAGAATAGTTACAACATTTAAACAAGCTATTTGAGTGGATGGACTGTTCTATTCTATGGAACGTCATTGTTTCATTGTGCTGCAGCAGCTCTCACCTTAAAGCTGATCTTTATTTTGTATTCGACTCCCTCCTTTAGGATAAAGGCCTGCTTCTTAAAGGATTCCAGGTCTCCTGTTCCAAAACCACAGAGGAAAAAAATTCAATTCAATTTTATTTGCATAGTGCCTAATCACAATAAACATTATCTCTCGATGCTTTACTTAGGAGGTTGAGACCTTAAAACTGAGAACAACAGTTCCTCAATGAGCAGCACTTTGGCGACTGTGGAGAGAAAAAACTCCCTCATTAACTGGTAGAAACCTCTGGCAGAACCAGACTCAGTGTGGGCGGCCATCTGCCTCCACCTCGAAATTTTATTCATCATAGTAACAATGATGCTATTATTACGTAACATTTGTTGGGTACTCCATAGAGTGAAACCACCTTATTGCCAACAGCCCCCTTAAATTCAATCAAGGTGCACTAAACTTCACAGACTCAGATATCAGCTCTCTAATAGCAAAAGCTCTATCTCACAATGTTATATAAAGTCATTATAAATTCCTGGATCCGCCCACAACAAAATGGAATGGGTTTCTCTCCTGACCCATACCACATCCTTCTACCTCGTTTAGTGGTAATGTGGCCAGCAGATTTTGGACAATCTTGCTTACGAACAAAAACATACCAACAGACAAAGACTGGGGTGAAAACAATGTCGTGGCAAAGGTAATTATAGCAGATATACCTGCTCACCTGCACTAACAACCAGGATGAACACAAACATCTACTGCACGCACATACACAGGGGATGACACACTTGAAGGACAAGCACCCAGACCTGCACAAGGAGTTCAGAGAACGACAGGTAATAACTTATATACCCATGAAAAAAAGCCACATTCAGTGCTAAAAGTAGCTCTGGAAAAAATTTAAGCCTGTCTTTGTGGTATTTTATTTCATTTACTGATGCATAATGTTATAGTTCTAAGTTTTTCAATTAAAATACAGTCAATAATGACATTTTTTGTGTTCTCTTTTTATTTCGAAAAGTACAGAAAAGTATCGAAATACATGTTGGTACTGGTACCAAAATGTTGGTACCGTGACAACACTTGTCCAGACTGGACAAACTAAACACCTTTTGAGTTTTTATGACAATTAAAGGCTGCCACAGTTTCTTTTTTATGTTTGGAAGGAGAGGGTGAGGCGAGGGGAGTTCAGCTGCAACATTTACATGTACAGTCTACAGTCTTTAGTCTAGTACAGTAACAGAGCAATGATGAGTTTTCGGGAGCTCTTCTACTTTCCCTTGTTCAGTCTTTTGGCAGGTGGCAACGAACATCATGGTGCATCCACTGACTTGGTGCACTGTTCCACCTTTTATTTTTATCTCTTGAAGATGGAAAAGATGTTTGAAAAAAAGGAGGAAAGGAAGCCACGCTTTTTGCGAAGCCGTCTTTTCAAAGAGGAGACAATTGATTCCTCAAGTTCTGGCGCCCTTAAACGAAAGGCAAACAGCAAGTTCTGAGGTTTCCACTTCTTACGCAAGTCCTTGAAAATGGCTTTGTCAAGGTCTTTGATTATCTGTGGGTTTACAGTTAAGTCAATGTCTTTGACCTCCGCCCATATTCCCTCCAGCAGTTGATGACTTATGTTCATTATGTCGGCACCGATCCTAGTCATCCTGGCATTATCATAGATTTTTGTGATGAGCTGGTCCACAAGAACACTGACATACATTTTATATCTTTCTGCTTCAAACATCTTTACATTCTCTGATGATATTGACTGATTCGATGAGTAGTTCCCCTCGCTGCTGACCAATGATGGTGTTGACTGATTCGATGAGTTCCTCACCCTGCTACTGACCAATGATGGTGTTGACTGATT